CCGGTTAAGCTTTTCATTTTCCTCAGAAAATACATATTTATCCTCTTTCATTCGAAAAAAAACCCGAAATTTTCGAAATAAAGCATACTGTTACATAGAGGAGACCTCTATATCTCAATGTTATACGATGCCAAAACCTTCAGTTTCTCCAAACATTTTTGACTTTGAAAAAACGGCACACTCGATCCAATATATTATGAGATTACCATGATAAGTTCGTTTTTCTAGAAGAATGGTTTAGCGATTGTAAGTCAGGTATAGGCACTCAGAGGTATTACAATTCAAAATCAAATTATTTAGGAATTCATGTATTTCTGGAGTGGGTTTGATATTGTTGCGAATAATCTGCCTGTCATGCAAGGTATACTAGAAGACCTTGAAAACATCTGGTTGTCGAGGAAGTCCGGAGGTATTTTTTATTTCTTTTCCAATCATTTTCTGTCCCTTGCTTCTCAAGCATTATTTCAGCTGACCCAGACGACCGAGCACTTTACTTCTTTCTAAAGGCCGTTTGCTTACGTAACCTTCGACAGCCCATTGCCGCTGAAACCGCATTACAAGAAGTGTTGAAACTGTATGTGATGTTTAGAAATTTGAAGCATAATGAAAAATTACTCCTTCTTAGCTAGTTATTCAAACAGCATTTGCAAAGGTATGAACGATGCCAGATTTGTTTGTCCTTGAAACACTCAGAGTATATGTAATATAATAATCATAACAGTGCGAGTGTTCTCAGTTGCTACTGTTTTACTCATTTTTCCTCTTAGCAAAGAAGATATTTGTTTTGTTCTCGGAAATGAATAGCTCGTAATATAAATTTCACCCCCTATTTTAATTTGAATTTTTTTGCTCACACGCTTGTTCCAGGGTGCTTTACTCCCGATCTAAAATAAAATAAAAAAGATGTCAAATGTAATTACTAACAACTATCTTATTGTGTCTAACAGTATCAAATTATCTTTCTTTCTTACAGAGAAGATGATCTTGTTGATTTTGCCTATCTGCCACCAAACGCACTATACGAACTAGCCCTTATTCGAATCGCTGATGGCATGCGCGACGAGGCGGAAGCTCTTCTAGCAAAAGCTCGCAGCTTTAAAGGTTTTCCTTTGGAGAACAAACTACACTTCCGCATTCACAGTGCCATGGAAAATCTAGGTTCACGAACACCTATGGTGTGAATAATCGAATTTTAAGACGTGATTGATGTACGGGTACAAACATTTTCCTCATT